CCACTGGACAGTAACTCTAGTTCCAGGGGATCTGATGCTCTCTCCTGGCCTTTGTGGCGACTGTACACATGTGGTACACAGACCTATATGCAGGCAAATAAAGTCAAAGTAAAACAAAACATCTACAGAAGATTTAATGCAGGATAAGGCAAGATGTAACGATATCCCTTGTAATTATTTTAGATGAAAGCCTGGGTTTTGGAAATCCCAGCAAGCTTGGCTTGACCACCCATTCTGATACACCAATTAAAGAAATAAACAATGATGAAGAAATTGGGGAGACTTATTCAGTGTAGCCACAGCACTAATAGTACAAATAACCTCTTAACCTCAAAACTGTCTTTGGGGTACAGGTACCAGCATTGGGCTTCAAAATGGGCAGACAATGAGAAGAGAGGCAAGTATAATAAAGCAGTCCTGATCTGGATGTGGTTTCCTGGATCATTGTCTCAGCTCTAGTCTTGAAAGGAGGTTTGAAGAATCCCTGATTGCTTGACGGGGGCAAGATGGTGCTCAGGAGATGATGACAAGGAGTAGAACCCCATGGACAAGGCCTTCACGTGGGGTGGAGGTGGGGGTTCTGACCTGCAGAGTTCTGCTGGTCCAAAGATCCAAGGTGACTCCAGAAGGAAGGTGAAGGAGGATGACTCATTTCTGTGCTGTCAGCTAAAGCAAGATAGACAGACAGACAGACAGACAGACAGACAGACAGACAGAGTAAAAGCAGAAATCCTCGGGCTTTCATCCCACTTAGCTAACAAGTAGGGCGCCAGTGCAGCTGGTTAGTAACAGCAGCTCCTAGGTGCCTGCTCACTTTGGCTTCCTTGCCATTTTAAGCCAGCTCCAGCCATTGTTTATTTTTAGCATTTGTTTCTTTGCCTGGGATTCTGAGCCTTAAGTCTTTTTAAATTACTAGGATGTGGAATTCAAGTGTCCTAGTCCATTTTCTGTTGCTATAACAAAATACTAGAACTTCATTAAAGAGAGATCTGATTGGCTCAGTCCTACAGGCTGACCATCCCAGATCGAGCGCCCCGCCCCCCTTTCGGCCTCAGCTAAAGCCTTTCCTGCTACATCATTGCAGGGCAAAAGGCATCGTGATGCGGAGGAGGGAATTACAGGGTCAGAGCGGAAGCAAAGAGACATGAAGGAGATGGACTTATTCTTTTTATAACTCGCTGTCAAGGTTACAAACAGGAGTTCCACAAAAGTGCGTTAATCCCTCCAAATCCCTCAGAGCCCCAACCACCTCCCACCTCTGAAGATTCCATCACCTCAGCACTGCCATGATAGGGACCCCAGCAGATGGCCCTTTGAGAGACATGCTTAAAGCCAATCCGAACTATAGCAATATGCAAGACAGAAATCTGCCTCCAAACAAGGAAACATGGGAGACAGGTTCCACTATGAAGGAATGACCTATCCGTGAGACCCAACTGTGCATCCCAGGTCAGCCATGGGAGGGAACACACGTTCCCAGTAGATGTGTTGATCAGCCTGGGAGCAAAACATTCACTTTAGGCCAGAGATGGGAAAGAGTGTGCACCTCCCTCCTGGCAGGAACTGGAGAGTCATGGAACTTTAGACATGTAAATAATGTAAAAATCCCATCCTGGAGTCATAGAAATGACTCTGTGTGTAAGAGTAATAAATGGTGTGCAAGAAGGAAAAGGACCTGAGGTCGCATCCACAGCAACTAGGTTAAAAGTTGGGCATAGACACACAGGAACCTATAACTCTAGCTAGAAACTGTGAGAGAGCACACACACAGACACACACACAGAGACACACACACAGACACAGCCATATAGACATACACACAGACACACACACAAAGACACAGACACACAGACACAGCCATACAGACATACACACAGAGACACACACACAGACATACACACAGACATACATACATACACAGAGACACATACATAAAGACACAGACACACACACATATACACACAGAAACACACAAAGACACACATATACACACAAAAACACACACAGACACACAGACACACACACCATCTCATCTGATTTACACAAATAACAGCTAAGAATCAACCCTGACCCTCAGGTGACATGTGTTTTGTTTGATTCATAATATGAAATGTAATCTTTAAAATTAGAAGTTTGCTTGTGTCATTTTATTTTAGAGACAGAGGCTTGCTATTTAGCCAGGGCCAGCCTTGAACTCACAATCCTCTTGACTCAGCTTCCTACATCCTGGGATAACAGGCATATGTTCCCACATCAGCTATCATTTTCCTCAGGGCTTTCAATTGGATGTCAGGATGGAGCAAGCATCTGTCCTCTCCCTCTGCGGTGGCTTTGTCCTTCCTGGGGTAGAACTATTCACTTTTTTTTTTTAAATCAGGTTCTTGATAACTATTGAAAATTGGACAGTCTGTCTGCCCTGGGTGACCAACATGTCCCTGTGGCAGTAACCAGAGCTGACGGGGTGGGGGTAGGGGTGGGTAATGCTCTTTGAATACTGCTTTGTGCTCAGATTTTCCCACAGTCCCTGGCTGGCCTGCTTTAGTGCTTCACTGAACCTGACTGGACTCTGCCTTGGAATTTCCAGCTGGTGCTGGACCAACCTGTTCATTTTCACAGATAAGAAAGAGATACCCAGAGAACCAGAGGACTGACCACCCCATCTGTGCTACAGTTTCTAAGGTCAAGCAGAGCTCGGTGCTATTTCTTCACAGTTCTTCCTCCGTCTCATACCTTCTCCCTTAAATGGCAAGATCGGTTTAGCAAAGGAAATGAATTTGGAGCATAAGCACACACTCGAAGGAAATTATGCAAAGGGCAGGGAAAGGCAAAGGTGAGAGAACAGAGAGCAAGATGTAGAGGCTGGCTCGGGAGACTTCGGTGGAAGTTATTAATGAGAGGAAACGGAAGGAAGAGAGAGGTTGCCTGTAATAAGAACAAACGAGAAAAGCACATGAGAAGAGCTAAGGTCAGATGAGGAGAAAGAATTAAGCCCTGAAGTTGTCTGCTCCTAGAGAGAGATAATGGGGACCCCTGAGGGGCACTGGAAAGAATAAACTTCAAAATAAAAACGGATCTGGGAAAAAAAAGAGATTTTTTTCTTCAGATTTATTTATTGTGGTGGGAAAAAAGAAATGAATAGAAAAACAAGCTGGAGAGACAGCTCGGTAGTTAGGCTTGCTGTACAATCATGAGCACTGGGGTAACCAACCGGCCAGGCATCCTATAGTTAAACTTTACCTGTACTGCAGTGAGACAGGGACAGAAAGATCACTGGGACTTTCTGTTTTTCAGCCTAGCTGAGAAGAGGTAAGGGGTAGACCCTGACTCAAAGGAGTGGGTGAAGAGCTAAAAGAACGCCAGGTTTCCTCTTCTGGTTTACACATGCATGCACAGCTGTGTGCACATGTGTGTGCCCTTCCCCCAACGCACACAAACAAATACATATAAGTAAGGAATTTTTTTTCTTCTTTTATAGAGCATCTGGAGAAATGGCTCAGAGATTCAGGGCACTTGCTGCTCTCCCAGAGGACCTGAGTTCACTTCTCAGCACCCATATCAGAGGTTTCACAACTGTGTTCATTCTAGCTACATGAGATCTGGCCCCCTTCTTCTGGCCTCTCAGGGCATCTGCACAGGCACACTAACACATTCAAATAAAAATAAAGTAAATTTTAAAAAAGGCGGGGAGGTAGGAAGCTTCTCGGGGCTGCCTGAGAAGTTACTAATGAAATGAAATAAAAATATTCACTGAAAAAATAAACCTCTAGAAATTAAAAAAATAATAATAAAAAGGATTCAAGCTGAAATTGAAACAAACCTACTATAGGTTGGATAAAAAGTGCCCCCATCAAAGGCTGATGTATAGTAGGTTGGGTCCCCAGCTGGTGTTGCTGTTGGGAAATTCTGAACACTCAGGAAGCAGAGGGTTGCTTGTAGAAGTAGGTTACTGGGAGCGTGGTCTTGGGATCTATATCTTGTCGTGATCCCTTTCTGCCTCTGTTCTGACAACCAATTCCTCTTCTTTTAATCCTGTGAGATGTGTGTGTGTGTGTGTGTGTGTGTGTGTGTGTGTGTGTGTGTGTAACTGTGTGTTGGTGTTAGAAGACAACTTTCATGATTCAGTTCTTTCCTGCTACCATGTGTTGTAGAGTTTGCACTCAGGGCAACAGACAAATACAGTAAGCATTTTTACACACTCATCCACCTCAACAGCCTCAACATTGTTTCTTCTTTTTCTTCTTCTTCTTCTTCTTCTTCTTCTTCTTCTTCTTCTTCTTCTTCTTCTTCTTCTTCTTCTTCT